GGTCACTTCGTGTGGTGCAAGATTTTGGTTTGAAACAATGCAATGTTGATCACTTCGTGTTTAGTAGGGATTCTTCATCTACAAAAATCATCCTGGTAGTTTATGTTGATGATATTATTCTTATTGGCAATGATGCACATGGAACTAGCGAGTTAAAATAGTTCCTACAGCAGCATTTTCAAACTAAAGATTTGGGAACCTTGAAGTACTTTTTGGGAATTGAGGTAGCCCAATCGAAGTGGGGAATCTCTGTCTCAACGAAAGTATGTTTTGGACATGTTAGATGAAACTGGGCTGTTGGAATCCAAGCCAGTGAAATCTACTTTGGATCCCAATGTGAAGATAACTAATAGTCAAGGGGAACCATTAGAAAACCCTAGAAGATATAGGAGACCAGTAGGCAAGCTGATATATCTCATTATCACTAGGCCTAACATTTCCCTTGGTGTTAAAAGGGTGTTTATGTATTTAAAGGGTGCTCTTGGTCGTGGGTTGTTGTATAAGAAAGGGAGAGATTTGTCCTTAGAAGGGTATTCAGATGCAGATTGAGCAGGGTCTCCAATGGACAAGAAGTCTATTGCAAATTATTGTATTAGAGCAGTTCGACATAGAGTTGAATCAGGTGTCTAAGTTCACTCGCCCAAAAAAGAATAAATTATATTAGCTCTAAAAAGTATGAAAGGATGGTTATGTCCTTTACAGGCAAGGGAAATACAAATACAAGCAATAAAGAAAAAACATAATAAGATAAGATACAAGCAAAGTAGAATATAAATATGGTCCCAGCATCCCATATCTCTACACCCCCTTCAAACTGATACTAGGAAATAAGAATTAGTTTGTCACTAAGAAATTGATGGCGAGCACATGTTAGAGCTTTGGTAAAGAGATTTGCTAGTTGAAGATTAGAAGGCACATGAGGAAGGGTAATATGGCCTACAAGGTGTAGATCCCTGATGATGTGGCAACCAACCTCAATATGTTTATTCTTTCATGGAATACCAGGTTTAAGGCAACCTCGATTGCATTGATATTATCTGCATAGAGAGGGATAGAAGAAGAATAAGAAAGAATAATGTCATTCGAGAGAGCGCGAAGCCACACCAATTTACTAAAGGTCAAGAACATTGCGTGGTATTCTGCCTCATTGGATGATTTAGAGACTATTTGTTGTTTCTTACACCTATGATCTGAAGGAGTCCCTAAGAAAAACATACCACCCTGTAGTAGAGCGTCTAGTGTCAGGGCACCTATCCCAATCTGCATCAGAATAGGCCTTAAGAGTGAATGGGGAGGATGAAGAAAAGAAGAGGCCATGAGATAGGGTCCCTTGAACATAATGAATAATTCGATGAACTATGGACAATCTGACCTACATATGAAATGTCCAGTTGAGACAAACTGGCCTACATATGAAATGTCCAATTGAGTCACTGTAAGGTATGTAAGACTATCAACCAAATGCCGATAAGAGATAGCATCAACAAGGAGTTCACCATCTACCTTAGAAAGCTTATGATTAAAGCTCAAGAGGTGTATCAACCTGTTTATCATCCGTCAGAAATTCTAATTTCACCAAATCAAGAGTGTAGTTTTGTTTGATTGACAAAGTACCCACGATTAGAATGGGACACTTCTAAGCCTAATAAGTAAGATAGAAGACCAAGATCTTTCATCTTGAACAAGTGATTGGGAGTTTGTTTCAAGGAAGAAATACCATCAACTTCATCTCCAGTAATTAGAATATCATCTATACATAACAACAAAAAAGTGATGCCATAGGGACTCCTAAGGGAGAAAAAAGAATAGTCTACAAAACTTGAGTAATCCAGCATCAGTAATGATGGACCTAAATTTCTCAAACCAGGCCCTAGGCACTTGTTTGAGGTCATACAAAGACGACTTCAATCAACAAACCAACTCAGGTGCAGCATTATACCTAGGAGGTAGCTTCATATGCATTGCTTTCTACAAGTCTCCATGTAGGAAGGCATTTTTCACATCTACCTAAGGAATAACTCACTTCTTAATAGTAGAGATAGCAAGAATCATGCACACTGTGGTCGTTTTTGCTACAAGAGCAAAAATCTCTTCATAGTTGATGCCATATTCTTGCTTTTAACCTTCTACAACTAGGTGGGCTTTATATCTATCAAGGCTCCCATATGACTTCAATTTTATTGATTACACCCAACGACTGCCAATAACAGAAGCATCTAGTGGAGGATGAACTAGGTCCCATGTATCATTTTCTAGTATTGCCTGAACTTCAGCATCCAATACAAAAAAGGAACTATGGCCAGATGGGAAGCCATAGCAGTCAAGTGGGTGTGAAACATGAGTAGAACGATGTAAAGGTGTACCTAAGATGAATCAAAAGTAGAAGAGAGTGGAGTACTTATTGGATCAACAAGAGATAGAGATCCAACAACTAGAAGTGGAGGGGGCAAAGGTGCATGGGCTGGAGCAATTTGATGCCTCTTCATGTAGACTTGGAAGCAATGTTTTCGAACCATCGTTGACTTGGATGGTCAGACCATTCAGCTTGGGAACCGTACAGGCAAATGGTTCCATTTTACCTAAACCTGGTCCTTGGCCAAAAACCATTGATTTGGTTAGCGACCCGTTAACCCAAGCGATTAAACCATTAACCCATTCAATGGTTTTTGGCCATTTTTTATTTTAACTAATTTTAATTATTTTTTATTTTTTAAGTTGGAATGGTCCGTTTGTTCAAACTGTCGACCTAGAAACCTGTGGCTAGAATGGTTCTAGTTCCGGGTCAGTTTTTAAAACCTTGCCTACAAGGGTCATGAAGAAGGAAAAGATGATAAAGAAGAATCTATTGACCCTACAGAATCAAAAGGGATACAAAAACAAATAAGAAGTAGATGATTTTACCATGTGAGAAAAGAAAGAGATATTTTCCAAAGAGACTACATTTTGAGAGATACACACATGACAAAGTTGGGGATCATAGCAAAGAAAATCCTTGTTCTATATCCCACAAAAGCACACATAGCTGCCTAAGAAGTAAGCTTTGCGTGCTCATGAGGAAGAGACCAATGCAATGGGGAAGTGAAGGGGAAGGGGCATAGATTTGGGAGGCAATTTTCTCTTGAGTTTGATAAGAGACCTTCATCTACAACTTCTTGTCTTCTTTGTACTACTAGTGATGTTTTGCATTCCCATTGTAATAATTTGTGGCATAAACATTTAGGCCACACACATGCTAAGAACTTGGGTCATTTGTTTTCTTTTGGTTACTTGCCTACTGTTACTTTTGTTTTTAAGGATATTGATAAATCTTACATAACTAGTGATCTTAGCAAAAGTCATATTTTACCTTTTCCATCTTCTTCTAAGCATGTTATTGTTCCTTTTCAAGTAGTACATAGTGATGTTTGTTCATCTTCTGTTATATCTAGACTTGGCTATAGATATTGTCTTATTTATTGATGATTGCACTAGATACACTTGGGTTTGCTTTCTCCAAAAGAAATCAGAAGTACTTTCCACTTTTCAGAACTTTTACACTATGGTAATGACCTATCATAATGCCATCGTTGACATCCTATGTTTAGATTCAGGGGGACAATATTTGGATAGAAAAAATGGAGAGTTCCAAACTTACCTAAAGAAGCTTGGAATTCTGTCCCAAAGATCTTGCCCAGGAACTCCTCAACAAAATGGAGTTGTCGAATGCAAAACCCAACACATCTTGAGCATGGTGAGATTCTTTCTACTTGACTCCCATGTCCCTGTTATCTTTTGGGTGGAGGCGACCAAAACTGTTGTGTATCTCATTAACATCATTCCATCATCACTTCTCAATAACCAATCACCATTCAATTGTCTCTTACATTGTTCACCAAACTATTCTATATTTATCTCTTTAATTGTATTTGTTTTGCGCATCTCCCTCCCCGTGAGCGCACTAAACATATTGCTCAATTGGCTATGTATGCCTTTATAGGGTACAATTTAGAACACAAGGGCTTTCTCTTTTATGAACTTATGATCCTAAAGTTCGTCTTCTTCACATATCTCAAAATGTAATCTTTCTTAAAAATGTGTCCTTTGAACACATTATTAAATTACCTGCACCATCCTCCTCCATTTTGTATAACTTTGCTCCTGAAGGTGATTTTGAATCTTCAATTACCACTTCTAGTCTACCTTAGGAAGTATCCAACTGCACTAGTGCCTATGCTTCCTCCTCCATCATCAACTCCAGTTGTCTGCTCCTCATTTGCTTCTCATGCAAGTGATCCTCCACCTCCTACTCCAACTCCTTCACATCTTTCTTATAAAGTTTCTCATTCTCTTGACCACTATGGATTTCCTACAACCTATAGCTAGCCTAGAGTTTCTCATCCTCCTTTACCCAAGGAACTGAGAAAGGTGTTCCTCAGCCTAAGGTGGAAGACAACTTTTACAACCTTGGCGTGTATAATATCTAGCCTAGCTTGAGGAAGAGCCTTCTAAGGTGCCTATTCAGGGGTATTTTTGTTCTTTCTTAGTTTTGTTAATGAGGGATTATATTGTAATTATGCACATATTAGTGACAAGTGTAAATCCTAATGAGAATGCTACAGCCAGAACCTTTTGCCTAACTTATTTCTGCGCTCTTTTATCTTTTTCCTCGTTCACCCTGTTCAAAGTGTACAATTATTAACACCTCTTGGACTCATGTTACACCATAAAACATGATATCATTTGTAATCCTGCCTTGAGATACTAATCAATCAAAAGTCTGATTACACTTAAGAAATCAGATGGTTAGGAAATTTTAAGTGGGGCTTCTACCTGATGGTAAATCACAATATGTGCATTGTCAATTGATAAAATTTTATGTGCACTTGCAATGAGGTTTGCTTCTTCCAAACTGCCTGTTATCAATTAGGTGTTTATATTAAATTCCTAAAATCTCTTTTTATATGCGTTTCTTAAATTCTGTCAAGGTTTGACTTAACTTTCTTCTCCATGTTTCCCTGCAGATATAAATACCCCCGAGGCCAATGATTCTGGGGATTGCCTGGAATCTGATCCCATGCACATGGTGCGGGGAACATGGCTTTCAAGCAATCATGATATCTTTTATTATGGCCTGCCACCTCAGTTATTAGATCATTTTCGAGATGATAAGCTACACAAGAAAACCTATGTACTTCCCTTTCTCTGGTTAATGATATGCTGTTTTTTTTTTTCTTTTCTTGAGTGATGATTTACATAGATTTTGCATCATTAAATGATGATTTACATAGTTTTTGCATCAATTGCATGATATAGATCCCATACGTGGATAATTAATTGTTCATTTCTTAGATCATATTGCTAACTGTACATTCTGGGAGAAGTAGAAAGATGTATCAGTGATTGATTATTTGCTAGCAGATTATATTTGCATGTATCATTCAATTGGGTGCATTGGAGATGATCAAATCTCTCGTGGCATTTTGCCCAATGTACATTTATACTTTGTCAAGCGTCTGTCAGTACACCCTCAACAGCTCAACTTATCTCAGCTAAACATTTTCCTAATTACATGGGGTTTGATTACATGAATCCTATTCTATGTTCCCTATGTGCCCTTAAGTTATTTTACTACTTCAACCCACGTCCCTTTTAGTCTGCCCCTGATGGTCTTCTCTACTCATGATAATACCATCTTAGTCTACTTTCCCATATTTTGCCTCCGGTAGGTGGCAAAATGCCATGAGAGATTTGGCATGCCTAATGAATGCTATTACTTTTCTAATTTTCTAACTACAATCCATTGATTATGCAATTATATTCATGTTCAATACTAATTCAAAATTACTGATTTATTATATTTTCTCAAATAAATTTGTGCATGCATAGGACTACTTGGTAAAGGAGGTAGAAATCCTGGAACTACTCCAGTCAGTCTTCAATGAGATGATGGATGGACTTGGTGAATATGATTATACAGAAAGGTATATGAATTTTAAACCTAAAATAAGTTTCATTGTTCGTTGATAAGCTACTGTATTTTCTAAAATGAGGTACTCATCTTCACAGTGATAATCTAAATTGGGACGTAAAGCTAGCACTGGAATTTAAAGATTTGCAAAGGAGAATCATCTCTTCGGTTTTGGCATCATGTTCCTCTGGTCTCAAAATGTTGGAAACTGAACTTAATCAAATTTATTCGAAATCTGACAAGGATGGACTTGCCTAGATAGATTGGACCCATTTGGGGTTGGGGCTCCGTTACAAGAATGGGCAAAATGGTCTTTCCAACAAAGAAGACCATACTTCGCATCCTGTCCAACTGGTAATACCTTCCTTCTCTCGAATGTATGGATGTCACGCCACACTGTCAGTGAAATGTCATTTTCTAACCTAATGGTTGAGTCTTGTTTCCCTCAGCTGATGCTGTAAGAAACTTGAAGCTTGGAATATTAATTGATTATTTATAATGACACGACAGATTCGATTCTTGAAGCATATATAGGTACTGCTTTATTTTTTTCTTTTATTCTTTTGTTTTTTTAATAGAATAGCTCAACCAAAACCCTTATTTTAGTTAGTAAAAGGACAAGAAAAGGCATGGGTTCTACCCAGGAAAGCATGCGCCGTGCTTTTATGTGGTCAAAATGCTTATACAGGCTTCTATAAAAAAAAAAAAAAAAACAAAGGAAATGCTTATACAGGCATTAAAAAAAGGGAGAATGACCAATCAGCCCATAGCAGAATTTTATAGTACATCGTGTGTATCCGTATTTATCCGTTAAAAAAATGAAGTATGCAAAAATGCAAAATTGACTTTGTTTAATGCCCCGGTGAGAATGACCACCCCATAATAAGTACGGGCCAGTGTTAATTAATTTTGTTTGACACCCATTATTTATGTTTCAAATTTAGATTATTTTTTTATATATAAATTTGTTATTTAATTTAATAGATTAAATCAAAGTTTACTTAATAATAATCCTATGTCATTTGAAATAAGCTTTCTTTTTTTTAAGTGGAGGTAAATACGTCCATTATTTGAAACTCATACCCTTTTTTACCGTGGGTACCATAATGCCTTAAAAGAAGGGAGAATGACAGTTCAGCCCAGGGTCAGAATTTGTAGGCTCAAAGTATATTTGGGGTAGGTGTCAGTTCGGAATTGATGCTAGTTTATGGGCAGGTATTAGTGCATAAAATGTGGGTTTTTGACATTTTGAATGTTTATAGCTCTGTAGTGGAAATCAAAAATCTGTATTGGGCCTGTCCGTACTTCTCCTCTGTAGTATTTAAAACTCTTGAAAATTGCCGGTTTAGTATCCGCTGTTAGCGGTCCATTATTTGACATGTGATGTATCCACGATCAATACATACATAGATACAACCTTGACTGGTACTATTTATGCTATTTCGAAAATAAACTGAATTAAAAGTTCTAGGTACGGATGACTATTTGGGCATAGGACAAAAAGGATTTTGAATATTTGCAGAGAATGCCATTAGAGAGAGACTAGTGGGGCCTCGTGCGATGCATGGGATGGGGCACTTCTTCCTATCTCTTGCCCTCGTAGTCAAGACACTCTACTCCATCCGGACATCCCCACCTTGTCCTTAGTGGTGAGGCGAGTTCGAGGCGAGGCACTCATTCCTTGTCAAAGATGGGGAATCTCTAAATTTTTCCCATCTTGAGGCAACCACCTAAAATTAATCTAGTTTGTAGATATTTTACAAATAAGATAAGATTATGGAAATTTGGGGGTATTTTAGGAGTTGGATTATGATAAGTTGGGGGTATTTTATAAATGGAATTGTGGGATCCTAGGATTATAAGAATATGAGGAAAACTTAAAGATATTTTAAAAATTAATATTAAATTTACTGATATTTTACAAATTTACCATTGAGTTTGGGGATCAAGGTTCAAAGTATCGATACGATACGCCCCATATTGGGTGTATCATATAGTATCTTTTGGTCTCAATACACCTATTTACAAGTGTATTGAGACCCCTATTCATTTCAATAAAAAAAAATACTTAAAAAACATTTCCAAAATTCAAGTTTTGAAAACAAAAACTAAAAAAAAAACATTAAGTGGTTAGTTTTTAGTATCAATACGCCCCTGTCGATACACAAGGGTGTATCGATACTTTGAACCTTGTTGGGGTGGGGTAGGGTAGGGCCCTAGTTTTATAGGGAAAAATGTCATCCCTACAATTCTAATAATTTTCTATAACTAATTAACTAATAGTAAAAATGTATAGTAAATTAGTTATTTACAATAACAATAAATTAATGTGAATTAATGTAAATTATTTACTATTAATCAAAGTGATGTAATTATAGTAAATTAATGTAATTATGGTAAATTACATTATTTGTAATTAAAAGTAAACCATTTGTTGTTAATTAATGTAAAACCAACTATGGTTGAAGTCCTAAGTGGTCTAACCGATGTCAATAGATTTAATAATTTTCCTTAATTATTTATTAAAATAATAGTAATGGATTGTTATTTAAATAAATATGAAACAATTTCTGATAGGTTAGTTTCCTAATTTAATTTTCCTAAAATTTTTAATAATTATTTAGTTGAATAATAATAATGAAGTAATGGACTATTATTTAAATAGTTTTAGAGAATATTTTTTCGTAGATTAATTTCCTAATTTTTAATTATTATTTATTTAAAAAAATTATGGATTATTAGTTAAAGAGTTTCCCTGATTTATTTGATAATTGTTAACTATAATTATTGATTTTATAGAAATTAATAAATTATGCCAATTAGTAATATCTTTTATGAATAAATAATTGTTGTAAAAAATTAATGAAAATTTATTAAATTACAATTATGAATGTAAATTATGCTAAACATTAAAAATTTAAACATTTATTAATTAACCAATGGTTGGTTAGAGTGACTAATTCCCTAACCCGACCAAATCAGTTTGGCTAGCCAAACAATCTCTAACCAAATTGAATTGCCTAGCGAACACTCCTAATTTCAGCTAAATTAATAGTCTAATCTCTAACAAATAACAATAATTTAATCTTCAATAATTATTGAAAATTTATAGCAAAAATACATAATTGCTAAAAATATATTTATAATGAAAATACAATAAAATAACTAATAAAAAGCTTTAATACCTCTAAGTTATTTAATCTACTTCCACTATTTCAATAATACTTTTTTTCATTTATTTATATTTTATATTCTTATTAAAGTTACTACAAAATTTTGTTATTTAATTTATTGTTTATTTTTTAAATAATATTTAAAATATGATTTAATATTCAACTTTTTCATATTGAAAACATTTAAAATTTATTTAAGAATAGTATATAAAACATAAATAATACCTTGCCCCACCCCGAACGGGACAAGTTTTCTTGAATCTTAAATAGGGAGGGAAGAGATAGGGTCGCGATGGGGAAAATATTTGTGCTCCAAAATTAGGGACAGGGTTTGCATATAATTCCCCAAACTCGATGGTAATACCTTGACTTTTATAAATATCTCTAAGTATTTCCTCACATTCTAATCATAGGATCCCACAATTCCATTTATAAAATACCCCCAAATTGTCAATAATCCAATTTCCATAATCTTATTTGTAAAATATCCACAAATTAGATTATTTTTAGGTGGTTGCCTCGGGGTGGGGCAAGTTTGGGGATTCCCCATCCCTGACGGGGAATGGGTGCCTCGCCTCCAACCTACCTTACCACCGGGGACGGGGCAGGGATGGGGTAGAGTGTCTTGACCAAGGGGACGAGGGACAGGAAGGGGTGCCACATCCCGTGCATCACATGGGGCCCACTAGTTATAATTACTTTTGTTCTTTTGAAAGTTTTTTAAAGTTATAACATAATTTTGTTATTTAATCTTTTTTTTTTGTTTTTGAAATAATATATAAGATATGATTTAGTTATTAATATTTTGATATTTAAAGTATTTAAAATTTAGTTATTTTCTTATTATTTAATTATTTAAATAATACCATTATTTAATTATTTAAATAATACCATTATTTAATTATTTAAATAATACCATTATTTAAAATATTAATTATTTATTAAATTTAATAGTCCATGAAATTATAATTTATACTATTATTACATAATTTTGATATTTTAACTATTTAAAATTTAGTTATGTTAAATATTTATTATTTAAATAATATGTAAAATATTTAAACTTTTTTGTTATTTAAATTTAATTTAAAGTTATTATGTAATTTTAAAAATTTTGTTATATAATTATTTAGATATTTTTAATATTATGTTATTTAAATAATTTTAATTATGTTTTTAAAATATTATTTAGTTATTAAATTGAATAATCCATAAAATTATAATTTATATTGTTATTACATAATTTCATTATGAATTTCAAAAATTATTAATAATATGAATATTATTAATCCTATTATAATTATTTTTTTGTGTTTTTAATAAATATTTTAAAGTTATTACATAATTTCATTATAATATTTAAATAATTTTTAAATGTTTTAATCGAAACTTTCTTTAGATATACATGGATGAAAAGTGTGGGAAAGGATAAATAGGAATTAAAAATACTTTAGGAGATAAAAAGGAATTAGGGAGAAATAGAAATAATTTAGGAGAAAACGGGGGATAGTTAATTTCCTAATAAAAAGGAGAGGAAAAAAGAGATAAGCCATATTAGGTGGCAACTCCTATTACTTCTAAAGGGAATCTTGCACCCCCTCTAGATTTGCTTGGTATGGGTAAAGGAGCAAGGAGAGAAGTGCCTACATGGCAAGCTCTACTTTAATATATATAGAGAGAGAGAGAGATTGCAATAGAAATAGAAAAAGAGAGTCAGGCAAAGTTCTATATGAAGAAATGGAGTGAAGATCAGATCGTTCTAAGTTGTAATCTCCAACGGAAAATCAGGCCCTAAAACTCCATACTGAATCATATCTAACATTATCCCATTTCTCAGATGAAACGTGATTCCTTCTGTAAATCAGGGCCTAAAACTCTTGCAAGTAGTTGCCAATTCCAATATTTGAAATTGATAAGGAAACCAGCAACATTATGGTTACGTTCCATACAAATTTCTCAATTTTATTTTTGTAAGTGTTCTCTTATGTTACACCAATTAGTGATGTACAGACTGCAGGCACATTACCACCTTCTGTCATCAAAGAAATTACTCTTTCTCTTCTATTTCATCATATTTCTTTTCTAAACTTTCTCAGTAGGGATTACTTGAACCTTTTTAATGTCTTCCTTGGCTCGATGGCAATCCTACAAACTTGAACCAAGGAGCTCAAAAATTCATAGCCATTGATTTTCATGGAGAAACAAGCTTATAATTTTATTTTGCTATCGTATAACTCGTTATATTTATGGAGTTCAACAAAGTGGAAGCGGATTAACGTAAAATCGAATAAATCCCAGGAAACAATATCCTAACTTGAAACTCGAATGACAGTAGGATCAGGACAGCGTTTAAGAA